TCTCTCTCTCTCTCTCTCTCTCTCTCTCTCTCTCCACTCTTCTTTTGGAGACAAGGTCTTGCTATGCAGTTCAAGCTGGTCTTAAGTTAACTTTGTAGACCAGACTGGTCTCAAACTTGCAACAATCCTCCTGCCTCAGCCTTCCGAGTGCTGGGAATATAGGAGTGTGCCACCATGCCTGGTTTATTTTTCTTTTCACAACTCCTTTGTAGAAGTTATTTTTTTTTCCATTTATTATGTCTGTCAATTTTTTTCACCTCTCCACCACTATTTATAATTGCCAATCACATATATGTCCTTCATATGCCATTTAACATATGAACTGCAAAATTTTAGTTTTTGCCAGGCATGGTGGCACATGCCTGCAATCCCAGCACTCTGGTTGCAGAGGCAGGAGGATCATTGTGAGTTCTAGAGCAACTTGGGCTACAAAGTGAGTACAAGGCCAGCCTGAACTGCATAGTGAGACTGTCTCAAAAAGAGAAACAAAATTTAAAAAATGAAAATTCAATTTTCAAGCATATCGAAGTGACTTTTTCTCCTGTTACTTTTGTTTGTTTGTTTGTTTGTTTTGGTATGTAAAGTCTTTTGGAGATCCAATTCAGGGAGCAGCTCATTAGAGAAAGACAACTCTCTGTCAAGAAACAAAGAGTACCAAAATCAACCCACAAAATCATCTTTAGAAGAGAATGCGGCTCTTACCAAAGCTCTCAAAACCACAGGCAAGGGTTACAGTTGTAATGGACTCCTTCATCCAACAGAATTAACCTCTCAGTGTTACAGCCCCGGGGTAGGGGAATGAAATGGGACTAAGTATGCTTACATTCAATGATTATAATTCAATACAGGCGCTTTTACCAATATTAACACAGTTTAATGTGCCTCTATAATGTATAGTGGTTATTAAAAAATGCATTTGACTGAAATGTATAAGATTTGTTTTTAAAAATCAGTAACTTATTTATCACTAGCTAGTTCTGTAGGTTACAGGAGATTATACAATTTGAAGCACAGGATTGAAAAGCATTCTTTCCCCATAGGGAATGGATGCTCTCTTTTAATCATTTATTTATTTATTTATTTATTTATTTATTCATTCATTCATTTAGAACAGAGTCTCACTGCGCAGCTCAGACTTGCACTGATCTTCCTGCCCAGCCACCCCAGTGCTGGGATGACAGGCGTGCTTCATTGTATTTGGTTTTGGGGGCCAGCAGGGCACGCCTGGGACTTGAGGCTTAGCACAGTATGTTGTACCAGGGATCAAACCTGGATCCTTGTGCTTGTCAGGCAGGTGCTTAGATGCCCGAGCTATCTCCCTAGCCTGGAAACTGCTGTTTTCTAAGTGATACCATTAGAATAAGAAATAGGCCATGAGAAAATAAGAATGGTCGGAGAAAAATAAAAAAGTAAAAATACTGACAATTTTTTTTTTTAATGACTGGCTCAGCCCACCCTGGGGGCAGGGCTGGTGGGGCATGTGGTGCTGAGAATGGAGTTATTTTATGATGTTATTTTCATAATAACTTGCCAAAGTTATTATGGTGGTCCCTGCACTTGCCAAAGCTTGCCTAAATAGGTGTGTTAGACCACTGAGCTATCTCACCAGCCCTTGACAAGAATTAAGGTACTAAATTAAAAACATTCAAAAGAGATATACCTAATACACATATCCCTGAAAACTCTGATTAAATGACTTTAATCACATAATTTCATTGGCTTAATTACAATTTTATACACACACTTCACTTCTGATCATATCATAATTGATTAAGACAGTATTTTCTCTTCAATTTCTCATCTCTGGATTCACATTTCCTCATAATTTTTATGAAGTAGCTAATAATGCATAGCAGAGTACTTTGGAGTAAGACCCAGTTGCTTTTAGGCATTCATACTTTGGAATGCCACAATTTACAACGTGCCTCTTATCATAAAATAACTTAAATAACATCAAATTACTGTGTTCTCCAGTGACTGATATTTTGAGTACATGTATTTTAGGGAATTGAAAGAGAGACATTGAGATCTGGGATGAATTGAATATAATGAAAGACAAGTCAAAAAGGAACGGTTGTTGCCTCTCTAAAACAGTATAATCACTTAATTTTTAAATTTTTTAAAGAGCAAGGAGATTTAAATTGTTCAGTAAAATAATAACCTTGTAGTTTGAATTTAAAATAAAATTGACCATGACTACTCTATTTGTTAAGGATGCATAGTGCTAGTTTGAGAAGAAGGACTTGGTATCCTCCGAACTTCATGGCCATTGGCTTTTCTTTCCAGGAGTCTTTTCCAGCACCTGTCCACCTAACTGGATTGCACATGAGAAGAGCTGTTACCACGTCATCATTTCACAGGATTCCTGGCATGGAAGTAAAAGAAGGTGCTCCCAGCTGGGCTCCCATCTCATAAAGATAGACACGTTGAAAGAATTTGTAAGTGGAGGGTTCAGGTAGAGGATCCCAACTGCAGATACTGCTCTGGTATGGAGCAGAATGCTACAGGTGATTCCAGGTCAACAGTGCTCCCCAGAGACAGTTATTTTCTATGTAATTGCACTATTAGCAAACAGGAAGCATTCCAAAGGCATGACCTATTCAATTAACATAATAACGGAAACTAATCATGTTTCACTTTAAAATCTTTTCATATGTACTCCATATTTACTACAACAACCAGGCCTCTGCTCATTTTTGTTCATCTTATTTTAATTTCTAGATTTGGTGGAGTAAAATAAAGACTTTTTTGTTAGTCACCAGAATTATGAAGAAAAACAGTAGCGATGACAATACAAAGTTATAAATCATTTGCATGTTCAAGATACTGGGAAAAGGAAAAAATGATTTAAAAAGTAACCTTGCTATTAGTGGGTTTGCATGAAAATTTGTGTTAAAAGACTAAAATTTGTCAAAGCCTAAGTATCTGATACTGGCGACTAATAATATATAGGTGTAGTGATATCCCTGTGGTCATAAGAAATTTTTCAAAAAGTGAGACTTCCAATGTGCCTCACGAATGAAAGGTAGGTCTTTGATGAGCCCTGGAAAGGATTAATAAGAAAAATCTCATATCATAAATCTTGACTAATTTCTTACTTCCACACCTACGTTCACTGCTCTCCACTTTTGTTTCTGTAATATCATACCAAACACTTGAAGTTCATACTGTTCATGAAAGCAGATATTTAGCCAAGGCAGAATTTTGGAGGATTTCTATTATACCAGAGATCTGTAGGGCCTTTAGATAAGACTATAATTGCTAACAAATCATCTTAAATCTGACAACAATTCAAACATCTTCATTGAAATCCAGATTATTTATAAAACATGCAGTGAGACTAAATTATGTCTATTATTTTTATAAGGCAGAGTCTCATTATGTAATGCCAGCTAGCCTTGAACTCACTTATGTAGCCCAGATTGGCCTTGAACTCACAGCTATCCTCCTGCTTCAGCCTCCCAAGTACTGGGATTATAGGCATGCCCAGATGGGACTAAGTTAATTTTAAGGTGCTAAGCAATTCTGGAAGGCATATCTGGAAAAGGCTAGCATTAATATCTAATATGGATTAAAAAGTGACTTATGAGCCATAAAATTTGCCCACAGACTTTGTCATCTTTGGATTTTATTGAGTTCATCAAATGGAAGCAGCACATGAATATTAGAAATCTGTTTTTAATTTACATCATCAGTCTGTTTTTTTGTGAGAAAATTGTGACAGTGACACTCAGTTATTGGTAGCTCTCTAGGTTGCATGTGCAGTGTTTACCAATGTATACACTCAGTTGTCTATTTCGCCCCCATCCATGATAACATTTTTCTTTTTCTCTCTGATGTGTGTTTGTACTTTATTTCACTACAGGAATTTATAGTAGGAGAAGTGTCTTCCTATACTACTAACTCCTTTTGGATTGGGCTTTCTCGTAATCAGACTGAGGCACCATGGCTCTGGGAGGATGGATCCACTTTCTCTAACTTGTAAGTCCCTCCAGAGACAAAACTTTCTCACACAGATAAAAGCACAGCATCACTTCGTGCACTGAGAACCTGATTTACTGACCAAAAGACTCAGCGGTGAGAGGTGGTGGGCGGGGGCAGAGCAGGGTGGAGGAGGCCTGCGGAGTGCAAGGGTGGACGCGAGTGCTGTGGACCCAAGTGTGCCTGTGGCCATCTTGCAGGAGGACACCCGGCATCTGTTTGAAGTTGCTCAATCCAGCAGCAGACTCTTGGCTCAGTATCACCTGGGAGATTAAGAGAATGGGCTTCAGTCCACTCACTGTTTGTGTGACATTCAATAAGTCATTCCATTTCTCAGGAGTGTCACTGCCCTTATCTATCAATGAGACTATAAAAAGTCTACTACTTAGAGTTGTGAGGAAAGGGTATAAAAGTAAAGTCATGAGTACAGTGTCTTACCCAGAGTGAGTGAAGCTATTATCATTTAGCTAAAAACAACATCTCTTATTTCATAAGGTTTTGAAACTATTTCACATTTGTATGATTAAGAATTTTTCCTTATTGTGTGTTGAAATCTTTCTAATTGCAGTCATCATTTGATTTTCTGCTAATATCTATAAAATATGAAATTATAACCACTTCCATCTGGTGGCAAGATCAAGGAATAAGTTCCTATCAATAACATGTTTGCCAGTATGTGTGTGTGACTATTTCTTTTTTACCCTCTTAATCTTATTAGGCATATGGTTCCATTTAATTAATCTCCCTCAATAAAACCCCACAACTTTTGACTTTGGTAGAGTCTCTTTCTAATTTCTTTCATTAATTTTGATTCTGATCTTTATTATTTCCTTTTATCTAATATTTTTCATTTATATTCAGTTTGCTACCTTTTAACCTTTTGCATTGGAAGCTTGATTCATGAAGCTTCCTTTTCCTTCAGTTAAAACTATACATTTGTGGGCTGGAGAGATGGCTCAGTGGTCTAAAGCACCTACTTGAAACAAGCTTGGCAAAGCACAGGGACCGCGGTTCGATCCCCAGCACCACATGCCAGCCAGACCCGCCCCCTGGTGGGCTGAGCTGGCCACACACACACAATAAATAAATGTAATAAATAAAAATAAATAAATATTTAAAAAAAATAAATAAAAATAAAACTATACATTTGTAATGTCTTCTCATTGTCATTAAGTTCAAAATGCTATCTGATTTTCATTGTAATCCCAGGATACTTTCTTTTGTTTGCTTTTCTCATGCAAAAGAATTGTGTTAAAATGCCCACCATGATTATATGTATAGTTCTGTAATTATTTAATATGGTATACTGAATCTGTATGATTATGAACATGTAGGTTTAGAATTGTATCTGCCCACTCAGTGTTACATTTTCTTTTCTTTCTTTCCTTTTTTGAGGACTAATTTAATACTTTTTAAATTATATTTCGCTCTTGTTTCTTTTCTTAATTTGAAGTTCTATTACTAATCACACAGTAGCTTCCTTAACAATTACAGTGCATGTTCTTTACTTAATAAAATCTAATTTTTGTACTTCAAAATCTAATATGAAGTGGAATTCTTATGCTTTTCCTGATCAATGTAGAATTCTTAGAACACTCTTTTGAGGCCTTCCTCACTTATTTTGATGCTACATAGGTGTATTTTAATGCTATTAAACACACTGTTTTCACATTTTAATCTATAAAAATAATATATGTCTTATCAAAACCTTTGACAATCACTGAAGAACTGAAGTTGAGCTCTGTCATTAGCATTTGCTTCTGCCAATCAAAGATGGGCCGTAGAAACTTGACACTGTTCTGAATGAAATTCTCTACTTGTGCTACTGTAGAGTTTAAAGAAGCAAATATTAGTATTAGTATGAATATTAGTTTGCAGCACCATATTTTCAAGGGAGTTAATTTTTTTTCCTATCTTCATCAGGTAGCAAGATCCAGAAATCAGCATTCTCTTCTTTTCTGTGCGGCAGTTTTACTTTTCATTTGCTCCTACCACAAAATAATTCTTTGATTTCTAGATTTTGAAAAGTCTTGGGTAAACTTCATTTCAGAGTGTTAGATGGAATAAGTGGTACATTCTACAATTGATATCCTCTTTGAGCAAAATATAGCTACATTGGAGATATATGTCTGTGTGTGTGTGTGTGTGTGTGTGTACACATAGACATGTTTATGCAGTCCATGTTCATTGATATTTGCTTACATATTTCTTATTGATTTCCAACTTCTCTAACTTACAGTTCAAGTCATTTTCTTAAACCCGGAGAACATCCTTTTCTATTTCTTCTACAGAACATTCATTGCAGTTAGATTTTCTGTGGTGGCACACATGTCTAGTTCCAGCAGTCTGGGAGTAGGAGTGGGAGGACTGCAAGTTCAAGCTTAGCCTGTATAAATTAGTGACCCATGTGAGACCTTTTCTGCAAATAATTTTTTTTAAAGGTGGGGTATATGGCTCGGTGTGAAGCCAACCATCTGCAGTACCATAAGAAGCAAAACACAGTGAGGAAACCTGTCATTTGACTTTTTTATAAAGAATTGACTCTATAATTAATGCAAAAAAGACAGTATTACTCATGAAATACCAACAGTTGCATTAAATTAAATTAAATTAAATTAAATTCAGACTCCTTTTCTAGTAATATAGACACTTCAAAATTCTGTTCACTGGTATTTTAATTTTAGCTCTGGGAACCAGTATTCCTTTCGTTTTGCTAATTGCATCACTGTATTGTATTTTAACAGATTTCAAATCAGGAGCACAGCTACAGAGGAAAGCACAACTCACAATTGTGTATGGATTCATATGGGGAATGCTTATGACCAATCCTGTAATATTTTCTCATTCACTATCTGTGAGAAGCTGCTGTGAGGATGAAGAGATGAAAGAGAAAAATAGTTGACATTGTAAGGATGACAAAAAGCAAAGCAAAAGGAATGGCATTTGAGGTCAAACTAAATGCTGTAAGGATTGACAGCTTGGAAAACTTGAGTCTTAGCTGAGAAATAGGATGAAAGGCTGTGATTTCTGTACTTGTCAACTCCATGGGGGAAGCTAATATTAAGTTTTAGTAGCTAGAGTCTTAGACATGGAGTTAGGGCACAAAGTTTGAATTTTATTGTAAGATTGTTTTAGTATTTTCAAGGAATAAACCACAAGGCCTTGGTGCTTCAAGGTAATCTTGGTTTCTGGCTCTTCCAGAATCCTTTCTTATTCCAGAAAGTGCCCCTAGAGGACGTAATGTGTGCTTCCATGACTTGGTCCTAGATTTCCAACGTAACAGACATAGGTAGATGACAAAATGTACAGCAGTGCCTTGGTTCATGAACACTTTTGTTTGCAAAGAGTTTGGTTCATAAACCAAAGCATTTGGCAAAATTTTGTTTTTGTTTGTAAACTCTGCATCAGGTGACAAACATGACCACAGTCATCCTTCCTGCATGAACATGAGCATGGGCATCTTTTCATAACCATGGAGTAAATTAAGTTCCTGAACTGAGGTACCACTGTACTTCTGAATTATTAAGTGAAGAATTGGAAGAAACTTTACTACAGTCAGTTACTACTTTCATCAATGTGATCAATGTTATCAATGGATCAATGGATCAAAGTGATCAATGAGATCAATGGATTCATATGGGGAATGCTTATGGTTGTGATTGTCATCATCAAAAAGTAGCCACTCCAACTTCTTTTCTCAGTGAAATAACTCAGATATTAAAACTGTATGTCTCTAATAGAATCCTGTATAATGTAATTTATTGGAAAATTACTCTTATGGGAAAGCATTCTCTTTTTAAAACATTATAATTAAAAGTAAGACTGGAATATGATTTTAAAATGTAACCAAGCTTATTGCCAAGAGTGTTAGTATGGTGCAGTATTAAACATGTTTTCCTGTTCTTATGATATACTACTTTGAGATTTTCACCTATTCTTAGGTGAAATTAATTATTGTAAAAAGTACTATTGTAATTTATCTATTTCTTTATGTGCTGATTTGTCTCATGCTCCTTTACACTTTCTCACTGGTTTTAGTACAGGTGGAAAAATTAAGGATAGTGGACCACTCCCTTCCACCCACTTGAATTTGAGCAACCCTCCAGGGACAATCATCTTCCAATGTGCTCAAAGAATGAGAAATAAAACAACAAAGACAAGGAAATCTCTAAGATTTGGGCCAGACACATGTGTGTTCAAACTCATGGCTTGGCCTCCAGTAACCTTTTCCCTACTTGAACATCCTTAAAGGTTCACAAGTAGGGACTGCATGCCGTGTGATTCAGAGTGGACTCTGCACATGCATGCATGTTGAAAGACCCTGAAGATGACTCAGTACCTGTCAATCATTCCTGTCAATATTATCCAGAAATCCATTGAGTGGTGCCAGGCCTGAGCTGTACATCTTCTCAAATCCAAATCCACAACATATTTATATGCGGTGTCTTTTGTTTCCATGTCACCCCAACACCCCTTTTCTGGCCACCCCTGTCCTGAACATATTTTCCCATTATCTTCAATAAATGTGGCTGAATTTTCTTTTACCAGTGGATATACACTTCCAATTCTTTGCTAGCCATACACAAGAGCCTGGAATCTATGCATTAGATCCGCTGTGTGGTAGCAGTGCAGTTGTTAATCCCCTGGACTGTGGGGATTTCGGTATTGTTGAGAGGCACTCATAACTGTGCACTTGTTAAACTGTGAAAAGGAATTGTGCCACAATCACCTAATTGTTCACTATAAATGTAATTTTGGGTTGCATTTTTTTAAAAAATGTATTTAGCACAGGGTCTACAGGATCTACAGGGTCTCACTACGTAGACCTGACTTGTAGTGATTCTCCTGCTTTCAGCCTCCCAAGTGCTGGGATTACAGGCATGCACCACCACGCCCAGTCTCGATCACCATCTCAGCACACCCAGGACCTGCGGGGCACGCCCAGGATCCAACCCTGGGCTCTGTGCTCTGCCTCAGCTGGTGCTTTAGTCTGCAGAGCTAGCTGGCCCACCCTGTGTTGTGTTAATTTTACCTCAACATAATTTGTTCTAATGGTGTTTGTAAATAGGATCTCAAGTCTGCATCTTGTACAGCAATTAACCACTAAGAAGAATATATGCAATGTGTTATTTGTTGAAACTGTACTTCCGATTTGATTTGAAACTGTTTATCAATAAAATTTTGGGAAAAAAATTTACCTCAATATAAAAATTGCTGGGCTGGGGAGATAGCTAAGTAGAATAAGCACTTGCCTGGCAAGTGCAGGGTCCTGAGTTCAATCCCGGGTACCGAAAAAAAAAATGCTTACTTAAGAATCTTAATACTCTGAATTCTGCCTTTTATATAGGAATAGTTGTCAGAACCCGCACTTCTTCCAAAAGTATAGATGAGTTTGACACTATGTAGGGCAAATGTGTAGTAGTTGTGAATTGAAAAATAAATGTGGGTTCTTAACTATTTTTTAAAAACCCAAGGGAAAAGAGCAGAGCTTTCTGACATTTACTTTCATCTTTCAATTTGCAAATTTATATTACCACTCTCTGAGAAAAAGAAAGTCGAGAAGACCACGATAATTCAGTGTGAGAGCATATGAAATATAGCTAACTAGTTAAATGTTATTTAATTAGAACCTAAGATGGGATTTTTGAACAAATTCCAAATATTTTACTTTTTATTTTTTAAAGAGAATAAAAAATGATGAACAAACACTAGCTGAATAAGTTGATAAGAATAGTAATGATATAAAGCAAGACTGATGGAGGTTGTCCAAAATATTCTATTTCTGGCCTATTGCCACATAGTCTATGTTGCAGTTTTTATAGAAACACACACGTGAATGAAAGGAAATGCACTTTTCTCATGAGACAGAAGAAGAAAGAGCTGCTAGCTGAACCCAAGTCTAGAGCGTACATTCCAGATGGGTAGCAATTACAATAGAGGAAATGCCTTTGGAAGGGTGACATTTTTGCTTGCCTGCATTATGCTAGTAATTTCTGAAGGCGTCTTCTAGACTTCATCCTTGTTCCTCTACAGCACCTTTGCAAGCACGTTTAAATCAAATAATTCATTTTTTTATTTAAAATTCTCCATGACTTATATGTTTCCTAGTAATAATAACAAGCAAAATGAGCACATACTTTTATGATGGTCCAGAAGATTCCACCTACTCCACTTCCTTTCTGCTCTCCGAGCTGTCTTGTGCTTCTCTATTCTTCATTTGTTCTACCCAGAACATGGGCCGTCCAGATAGCTCAGTGGATTAAAGTGTCAGGAACAGGGGCCAGGTTTACAATCTCTGGGCCTACTGTGCTAACCCCACCCCTAGGGCAGGTTGGGATGGCAAATGAGACTGGGTGTGGTGGCGAGTGCCTGTAATCTCAGCTCTTGGGAGGCTGTAAACAGGAGGAGCACTATGAGTCTGATGTAGTAGTGAGTCCTTGAACACCCTGTACACCCTTCCCTAAAATACAAAAAGAAAAAAGAAAAAAAAAAAAAGGACATGGGCTTTTCTATGGTTTCTCAGTCATATCAGGAATGCTCACCCTTCCCATCTTCATTAAGACCAGAAGATATGGGCCAGGGAGATAGCTCAGTAGAGTAAGTGCTTGCCAGGCAAGCACAAGGGCCTGAGTTCAATCCCTGGACCAGAAAATAAAGGAAAAAGGGACAAAGGCCTGAGTACAGTAAAGGCAAAGTAAGATAAGTCTCAGGAAAATGATCATGCAAAAGATAGAAAATAGAACACGCTGGCAACGGCAAGCAGCAGCAAACCTGCATTTCTGTGAGTCCTCTGCCCATTTGTCTCCTGGTTTGTATACACGACCTATGCTTCCAGATTTAGGTCCTCACTTGGAGTTCCTCTTGTCTCTCTTGTCTATCAAGGGCTTTTCTTGTTCCATCTAACAGACTGCATCTGATACTGTGCCCCCTGCTTGCTGTTTTCTGTCCCATCCTTCTTCACTGTCTCAGAAAAAGAACACAAAGGGAGGGTGCTGCTTGCATCTTGGGCACCCTGCATGGGATTCATCTTATCTCTGGAGAGGTAAGCATAATGTGCGTCACACATCTACCCTCCCTGCCCCTTTAGAGAAATTTAGGAAACAGTGGGTACTTTGCCAGCCAGTTAATGGTCAATTAGATTTCCATGCTTAATGTGAAGAATAGGTTCTCAAGCATTTTCTGGCTAATTTCCCACTGAAGACAATGAGAATGTTAGCCAGACAGGCGTCTGGATTCCTTTGCAGACACAGATCCAGCATTTCATAGGTCTGGTGAAAGCTGGAAAGCAACTGGAAGACCCTAGCCAGGGCTCCTCCACAGGGGGTATCCAAAAGGCATCTGGTGTAAGCTGAGTCCTGATAACCCAGCTGGCTATCCAGTGGAGGAAATCTCCACTATCTACCATCTCACCTGCACTCTTCTGTGAGAAGAGAGAAAAACTCTTGGTGTTCTTTTTTTCCAGCATGGCCTGAGATGATTCCATCAAAACCTTCCCTTAAAACTCGGTGAAGAGTTGAGCTACAGGTTTGGAGTTTTCTCTCCCTGCTAGTATGACAAACCCCAATCTTTAGACATGTCTTGATAGATTTACTGGATTGGGAACAGGTTAGATTTCTGTCCCACCTCTCAGGCAGGGTGCCCCAGTCCTCAGAGTCTTTGGTGTTTGGGTCTCCACCCCGATGTTCATAGAGCCAATATCAAACAAGTAACTCCCAAGTTCTCCAAGAATCATTTGCTAAAACAAAGGTCAAAGTTAAGGAAGAATCTATGAGCCATTTTATCATTCCAACTCTATGAGAACCGGCAGTGCTGAAGGTATGGTGAGGTAGTTTTGGAACTCACTTGAGAAGCTTTCAAATTAAGGGAGAAAAGCTGCTATTTCTCCAGACCAAAGGAACTTGATACCACCATCCCTCTCTCCTCACAGTCAAACTCAGGAATATCCTTAGGAGGGCTTTCTGTCATTTCTGGGAGACCTCAGAATGGATTCAATCCAAGCCCATCTATCCACAGTGAGGATCAGGCCCTGGAGACACTCTCCCAGGTTAGGGTTAGGGTAGGGTTAGGGTTGACACACAGCATGACTAATATTGTCCATTCCCTACTCCCAGAACAGAGATCCACTCTACTGCCATCACTGGCAGAGAGACAGAGAAAGAGAATAACAAAGAATATAAGGTAATACCCTTATCTCCACGCTCTTTTACAGAAAATAATGCTAAACCTCAGAAACTGTGGTATACCTGTTTTCTATAGCAAAAGCAGTTTCTTCAGTAGCTCTAATCCAACACTAAGACAAAGATCAAGGTAATTCATTATTAAAGCAGTCCTTACCTTCAAAGTATAAAATGGATTCTCTTTCTCTCTAACAGTAACTGGTGTTAGCTTATTACAAGCAATCACGGTACTAACTAGTCATTTTGTAGTTGTACACCTGTATCTTTATGAGATTATTTTAAAATCTGTGGCCAACACAACTAAGTATACGTTTTGACTTAAAAAACAATCGTTTTCTGTGTTTCATGTTTATCTATTTAAACCGATTGAGGTAACTTCAGTTGCTTTGTTAAAGCTTTGCGAGC